CAATTCCTTAGAAGTGTCAAATGTTGCATACTGTGCACCTTTTTTTACTGTAATCTCCTGTAATCTTCCTGTAATCTCCTGAATTCTTGTCAGGGAAACTCCTGAATGTTAATTTTGCTAGGTTGGCATGTCTGGGTACAATAGACCTGGTGGATGTGCCCTGCTCTTTAGAGCTGCCCAACCTCTAAGTCTATCTTCGTTTTCAGCTCTATAGCTCTTTGTGAAGTCAGGCTTTCCAAGCCATGGAGATCAACATTGCTCTCTCCCATGTTTACATTGTACTATATAATTTAGCAATTTTACTACTTAGCATGAAAATTTTTTTCATATATAATAAAAAATTTTAAATTCCCCCAAATTTTGTAATTTTATATATGTATTTTGTCATAAGTAATCCCTAGAATAAAATTTATTTCAACATTAAAAATTTAATTTGTCTAGCTGTAAGTGTTAGAATTAAAAGAATTTTAGTTCGCTCTGGCAGTCGAGTAGGTTTTATTATTTTTGATCCCAATAGAATTTTTTTACATTTGAATAAAATTTTTTGTTTTTCCCTCTCTCTCAAATATATATATAAATGTGAACCCTAGTTTTTGAAAAGCTTTGTGAAATCATATATTAAGGGTGGTTAATACCTTGTATAAGATAAGTCAATTATTTTTAGCAATCTTATCTTTCAAAATTTAAGATTGTTTAAAATGTAGATAATTTTTAATTTAAAAAAAGGAATCACAAATTTTAGTCAACTTCTGCTTTAGAAATGTATGACTTTGTACAATTACGGAGACAGTAGTAATTTGAACTAACATTTAAAACATTTAATATTATGATTTATTTGATGTTAAAAATGAAAAATCATATAATTTATAAAGCTTCAATGGTAAACAGGAAAATTAGAAATCATTACGCCTGGAAAGTATTTGAAATTAACTAACAAATATCATCGGTATTATTAAATTGCTTAATACTTATTTTATTTTAACTTTTTAAACTAGACATAGATAATATGTACAAAAATAGTTTCAAATAAATATCTTAAAAAACTTTCGAAACTTTGGCAATTTATAAAGTATCTTCCTCATAAGTGGCGAAAAATTTCATGACTTCGCTCATTTTGTTTTTGTTTACAAATGTCTATTTAGACAGTTGAAACATAGTTTCCTGTGCAAATATAAAGTAAGGTGTGGGAAGACCAGGCATTAAGTTGCGATGAAGTACCTTTATTCTGTAGAAATTAATTCTATTTTTAGCAAGTATATATTCTTAAATATACTTTACTAGTCAAGAAAAAGGATCTAACATATTGGTCTGGTGGTGCTGATTAATTCACGGCATCTATGTAGATAAATTTGCTTTTCTAGGTCAACTCTCTAATGTTCTTTTTTTTTACAGTTACAAAAATTATTTTTAGTCCAGCTTATTTTACGTTTACTAAAGAAGCACACTCTAACAGACAATAAGGATTTAGCCTGATATATAGCATTTTTCTGTTTTATTTTGATAACCTCTGCCCGTGTGGTAAAACAGGAAACTACCATGTTCGGTAAGCCCCCTCCCCATCTTGATGTGTCTCTCAGCTGGGCCCATAAAAGCTGCAGTGCAGTGGAAGAAGACAAAAACTGCATTCCGAGCTGAACAAAGGTTTTACGGGCCCCAGGACAAAATTCATTGCAGGCATTTTGCTCAAAGCACAAAAAGCTTTATTTTTCATATTTTGTGGAATTTTTCAAGACCTTTTATATAAAATCTTAGCTTTTATGTAGATATGAAAAAAATTCTCTGTAATTATATCAACAAAAAAGAAACTAATAAGCATTATTATTTTTTTAAAGAAATTTATTTGGGTTAAGCCCTTAACAGTCATAGGCCTCATGGCAGTTTTTTCCCTCTCTCACCTCGTCAAGTTTAAATTGCATGCATAATTTTCTTAAATTGTCTTTTAAAGTAGAAAAGTCTGCTACTTCTTCACTGAAATTTTAGTATTCCTAAATTTTCTATATAGTTAACATGTGTACCCAATTTTACCCACTACTTGGATGAGCCTGGATGATTTCACTTATTATTTTAGGAAAAATTCATTTATTAAAATGTACATCAATTACTTTTTAGGAATGGTATATTGTATACATATAAACAATGAATATTTTGATTAAATCTAACAGTTTCTAGGTAGAACAATTTATCTTCTTCTGGCCTTCAAATCTTAGCTACCCAATATTATCCCACTTTCTCCTACATATTAATAATTCTTGTGGATATATTTAATATAGTAAACATAATAATCTGTGCTGTACCACATGGTACCTTAACATTAGATCTCTAACTAACTAATACACTACTACATGTGGTGGTAAAAAATTTAATTACTACATATTTGGACGACGAGCTGTTATTACTTTACAAGCTGTTTACTGAAAACTCAAGACATTATTAATAAAATTATACACATGTGCATACAAGAATACTAAAGCTTAACTCGCAAAGGCCAGTGCAAAGCGAATATAGAATTCTCTAGAATAAAAATTATTCTTAAATAAAGTGACATGGTTGAGAACAATAACTTAATTAAGACAATTTAAAAGGAGACTAAAATATGTAAAAATGTATTACAGCATTTATTGAGCTGCTCAAATTACGTATATCGCTAGGAACAAATCCTTTAAAAAAATTAAATAGAGCTAAATTTAAATGCATTGTGGAAGACAGCTGAAACTAACTTCTGTAAAAAGAAGTAGGAAATAAAATTGTAAATGGATCGAAAACGATCCTTGTTTTTTCGCAAATTCTAAAATACTACACCATCCATTCTAACATTCAGTATGTCCGGAACGATCAGCATGGGAGCAAACGCCCCCTTACTATGAGGAACTCTCTCTCCAATTGTAAAAAACAACCACCTTCTTCAAACTTGTTTTTTTTTGTGTTGCCACACTAAGAATGAAAGGGAAATTTCTGCTAAAGCAGTTTATCAACTGCTGATCCTTGACCTCTTGCTGATGTGGGCATTCGGAACAATACTTAAGCAGTGTCTATCTTCTGAATGGGTGGGTACTCTTCTGTCTACATGCAGCCTTAATCTACATACATAGCTAAAAGTTCAGTTCTTATGTGAAAAAATAGAGGCTTTTAAAATATGTTGCAATGAGTTGTAACACAGCCGACCGGCCTGCTTAGGGGGCAGGGAACTGTCTTTGCATCAGAAAGGTACTGGGTTCGAATCCCAGGCAAGGCATGGATGTTCTTTCCTTTTCTGTACTATCTGTCCGTACTGTGGGAGCGATGTTGGCCCACCTAATATGTTGCCCCTGTAAGAGAGGTCAACATGTCGCCCTGTAGATGCCTGAATTGACAAATGTTAACACAGGCGGGCATTAGAAAAAAGAAAAAAAAAGTTGTAACACATATATACTAGCCCTTTTGTCGTTAGGCAGACAGTGGTTTTCCTCTCCATATAATGTGCATGCAGGTTAGTTTCAGTGAAAGTCTCCCTAGAATGCAAATTTGTCCCATTCTTGGTCCAGGAGTGTCTTCAGAATTGGGTTCAAATTTACAAGAATGCAGAGTTAATCATTAATATTCGTAAATCCAATAAATGAGTCTGCTGTTCAACAGTGGTTATAAAGTGATATTCAGCTTCTTCTAACACATGGTCTTTTTTGGGCTCTATTGACAAGGCTGTAAAAATCAGCAGGTTAAAATCATTTTGAGCCATGTATGCACAAATACATATGTAATTTAACTAATATATGATATAATATAATGAAATGTTATGATATAATATTTTGATATAATTGTTATAAATTAAATGCATTAGCTTAAGAGCTTCTTAATAAATTCTACAACTTTTAATTAATCCAAAGTGTGCGTTCAGCAAAAAATAAATACATTCTTTTTTCATATCAAAATAACTTACAAGAATTTGGACAGAGACATTTTTGCACAAAATTATAAAATTCATTTCTCCAAGGATAATTCAATGCAAACAATAACCTTTATTAAATATATATTATTTTGATTGTTTTATTTAATAATAGTAAAAAAAAATTTAATTGTAAAGTGTACAATTTTTTACTTCATTTTGAAAAATGAAATTTTAAATGGCAAAATATAAAATTTCTTACAATAATTCCTGAGATATCGAAGTTTGAAAATACAACATTTTTAGAATTTAGGCTAATATTTTTTAACAACAGGATTTTACATTAGTATCCAAAAATAAAATTTGCTAAACAAATTTAAATGTTAATAAATTAACATTGTAAAATTAAATTAGAAGAATCTACTTTACATCATTATAAGTTCAAACATTCAAGGGTGGATTGAAGTATCATCTTTTATAAAAAGTATAAATTTTGGAAAGAATTGAAGTATTTTTGTGAAAAATTAAAATAATTTTGCTAAAAATTGAAATATTTTTATGGAAAGCATTACATTTTGACAGCTACACTGAGCAGTAATTTTATGGAATATCAAAAAACACTTTTTTTTAAAAATCTTTTTGCATTGTCTTATTAAAAAGTAGTACTTATTTTTTATTCTGTAGATCTGATAAGCTTGTACTATGAAAATAAATAACTCTTGCTGTCAGCACTAAATCTGATTCCCTCATGCAGATAAATTTCAAAAAATGTAAATATTAAAAGTCTGATGATTCCTTTATAAAAAAATAGTCTTTTAGGGCTTTTTTAAATAAATTCAATTTGTCATTTGATGAAAGGAAAGGGTTCGATTTGTAAACTAGAAAGCATTTTGTTACTGAAACATTTTAAATAATTAAATGGCTAATTTACATTCTATAACATATTTCTCCTCTTCTATTTAGCTGCTAAATAGGAAATGACCTCATAAAACTTTGCTAATATTATCAATTATTTCAAGTCTATTCGGGCAATCTTTTGAGCATTGCTCGAAGAGACTTGTTTTATCTTAGCTCAGAAAAGTTAAACACAAACTTGTTCAAATATAAACCCGAAAACTTAAAAAAATGTTTTGTATTGCAGTGTAATGGCCTTCTGTGTAAAGGAGCATCAAATTTACTATCTATGCTTCTAAACATTCAAAAGTGTCTTCGGAAAAACAAAAATACTGGAATCCTAAATTAAATGAAGAAAAAAAGGAAAGAGTAAGTGTTTTATTAATTTAATGGAAAGTAAAAACTTTAGTATACAATTACACATAGTTCAACATTAAGTACAGCAGTTATTTTTTATGGTGTTCTCTTCAAATTTTTAAATTTTATGCAGATGAGTTTCAATTTTACTAATTCTGGAGGTATTGCAATATGAAATGGTAATCTCTTTCCCTGCAAACAGCATATTTATACTAACTATATTTATTTTGCTGTATTTGAAAACTTTTGATGCAATATCTAGATCATAAAATTGATTTAAAAAATTTTGATAATGTAAAATTGTAGCTAATAGATAAAATTTTTGATAGAATTTGTGAAGTATAAAAAATAAAAACAGTAAAATGGATAAATTGTAATAAATAAATTAATTTTGAAATATATAAGAAATAAAAAACTATTATTTGTTATTACTATATTTGATAATTTTAATACCCTTGTGTGTGAAATTGATTTCAAGGTGTAGCCAAAACTATAGAATGAAATATAGAGCTTCAAAATGCATTTATTTAAAAACTTATTTTAACTTGGTTTTTTACTTTCTTTCAGAACTATTTGCTTAGTTAACTTTTAACTCATTTTCTATTCTCTACAATGGTATATAAAATTTTTTATTGTTCCAAGTTTTTATTTTGTTATACTAATTATAAAGCAGATTTTTCTTATGTACAATGATAGCTATAGCAGTACTTTAACTCCCTAAAAGAGCTTCTATTTTCCTTCAATAACCATTCCAGTTGGAATTAATTACCTTTATTTTGTTAAAACATCATGCACAAAGTAATCTCAAGCAAGAGTTACTTTGTGCTCGTCAAATTTTAGTTGTATTCAGGTACAATGAATAAATAAATAATAGTATCTCCCTGTAGGGGACTCTAATCAAGCCAAGCTTTTTGTCCCTTAAATAGAAATGCCACTTATTCAGAAATGACATAAAAATTATAAAAAGCTATTTAATTATAAGTTCAGGATACATTAAGATTAAATAAATGACATATAAATATGTAATAAAAAACTAAACTCAGTTGCTTGACAGCCCATAGAGGGCTAAGGCCTACTGTGCCCGTTTGAGTTTTCTTGACCTTAGGCTCTTGGGTGCAGGAGCAGATGTTCTGGTAAGGTAGTCAGCTAATCACGGAACCCCCAGTGTTTAGTTCCCAAGCATGCCTGGTACTTATTTATTGACCCACTGAAAGGATGAGTCAACCTTGCCCGGCCCGAGGATCAAACCCAGTAAATATGTAATAGCAGGGCTCGAAAAACCACCCTTCCGCTCGTCCTCGACGGTCAAAAATTCTCCGCGGACGGCCATTTTCCCGTTAATGTTGGGGATACATTTTCAATTTTTGTTATCTTACAAGAGTCTAGCGCCTCACTTCTAAAATGACCCTCTAATCTAGAAATACTGTAACATACTGTGCATGATGGAATTGATGTTTTCTCTGTCTTCCGTACTGCAGCGGTTGAAAGGGACTTTTCAGCAATGAACTTACAAAAAAAAACATTACGCACTGGTCTTAAACAAGAAGCGTTAAGCGCAATTATGAGCATCTACCTAAATAGAAAACCCCTTTCAGATTTTTGTGCAGAAACTTCTGTAAATCATTAGCTTGATTGTGGAACTGGCAAACGTCATATTTGATTCATTTAAAAATCGCTGTACCCTCAGATAAATTGACATTCCAGATAACTTGACATTTGTCATTTAAATTATTTCATAAAAGAAAGAAATTATTTCATTAAAAGAAATAAATTAATTTACAAAAGAAATACTAGGTTCCTATTGGCAACCTAGTATTACTTTTATTACTGTATAATGCAATCCTAGTATTTGTAATCATAGTAACTACTAATTAATTGCACAATTTATATAAATGTTTGTAATAAATAAGAGATAATTATATTTTTATTTATTTAGAAGCGGCGGGTTAGTTTCAAAGGAGGACGGGTACATTGTTGGTCAAGCCGTCCTCGGGGACGGGTAAAATTTTTGAGTTTTTTCGAGCCCTGTGTAATAGTCATGGTTATTTATTTGAATTAAGAAAATTGGAAGTTCTTAATTTAGAAAAATAATTTTGTTTAAATGCTTGATATGAATAATAAAGTTTTATACTTTCAGAAACTGAAAATCAAAATGATCTGTTCCGCAAGTTAATTTAAAAATTCGTGAATTGAAAGGCTTTTTTTATGATGTGGATATTAGTCACCTATCATCTTAAGTCCTTCACTCTCACCAACAGTTATGAATTTTTTTTTTTTTACTAGAAATGTATTTAACAGCATCTGTAGTTTTTTTTTATGTTACCTCCCTGATTACTGAACTATTATTGTTTAAGCTCACACCATGAATCACTGTTGAAATGAAAGATTGTTTGTCTTCTAATTTAGAAGTTCCTAATTTAGAAAAATAATTTTGTTTAAATGCTTGATATGAATAATAACGTTTTATACTTTCAGAAACTTAATTAAAATAATCTCTTGCATGAGTAAATTAAATAGATGAGTTAGCTATACAAATAATACACATAAAATATCAACTTTCAAATAAAAAGAAATCTTGGTTTATAGAGAATTTTGATAAGATATGAAAATATTGGTATTCATTAAATACTAATGTGATCATAGACATGATATTAGTATTTTAATTAATACCTGTTAATAACTAAAATTGGCATCCTATGGTTTTATGTGTTGTTAGCTGTTTAAGTATGTTTATAATTTTTATAGAAATTAAAAAAATTTAACTCAGCTTAGTGATTGATGAATTATTTTTTCCTTAACTCTTACAAAAGTCATTAAGTTCTATGCTTAAGGTAGTTAATATCAAATCTTTGGATTCCATAACCTCTTTCACTATATGCTTATTTGTTTCCATTTTCGAAGGTTGTTCAAAACTTGCTAAATTTAATCCTACACATAGTTTTTTATTTAATGAATTTTATTCGATTGAACATATATAAATGATTAACATAAATTATTTACAGATGCATGTCAGTAAAGCATTTACTATGTTATATTGCTAGGCATGTAAGTTTCAGAAAAAAAATATAAATTTTTTGTTAAATTCAACTTCATTTTGTTTGAATGCTGAAAATATATGTTATTATATTTTACCTTATGTGTAACAGCAAAATAATGTACAGTATGATAACTTCACTTTTATGCACTTGGGATTGGTATTAAATTATATTGCTTTATTAAGGTATGCAAGATTTAGTAAGGAAAAAAATCACAATTTTTTTATTTTATTACAATTTTACTGTATGGAATTTTAACAAAAAAATTATGTTTTTGTACAGTAATAATGTTTTTTAATATGTTTATTAGTTACCAGTTTTACTTGCATTGTATTCAGAGAATAATTGTTACTTGACTTGATTACTTGATGCGTGTGAATTATTGTAATCTGTTAGATTCGTAGATACATTTGTACCTATATTTATTCAAAATGATGTATGTTAAACTATTTGAGAATTGATTTATTGTGCATGTGTACCCATTTTTCGGCAATTTCCTTTTAATCTTCTACGTTTGGTGTAATTTCATTGGCACTAATTTTGTACTATGCCATAGCAGAATCAAGAATTGCAAAATTAAATTTTACCTGTAAAATTAAACTAACTTGTTCATTATTTGCACCTATAAGATAAAATTTTAGCTGTAAAACCAAACATTATTTGACATCAATTACAGTTCATGAAGATTAACTACTGCAGATCTATATCAAACCATGGGCCACAGACAGTAGTTTTTTAATGCATCTGTGTTCATTTTTTGGTAAATTTTACGCAGCAGACACTTTTTTCCATATTCTAAAAATAAAAAAATACTGTAGATCTATATCGAATCATTACCCCCTGGCAACTCTGTTGTTACTATTCTGCATAAAATTAAAAAAACGTGAAATTCCCCAAAATATAAAAATTCACCTGGAAGCTAAAAAGCATTTAATTTTCTTCTTAAATCCACATCTTTCAAAATGTCCCAATTGAAGACATCATGATCATAACAGCAAAATTGCAACAAAAAAACCCCTACAAAACTTAACGTAATAACATTAAGTTTATTGCTTTTTATTAGCTTAACAACTTCACCTTCCTGGCACATCATTAATTAAAAAAGGAAAGCTCTATTGGGTTTTCCTGTTTCACCGTAAACATTCTTTAAGCCATATTTCATACCTGCCAACTCTTCCGGATTTTCCGGAAGTTTTACGGATTTTCCTCCTTTTTCCATTTTTCCGGGTAAGAGCATAATCTTCCGGATTTGTCCCGAGTTTTTGGAAAAATAATAAAAACTCGCCAAATTTAGAGCTTTCGAGCCTTTTGCGGAGCGATGCTCTAAAATGTGCGCCGAAATTGTGTTGCAGGTTACCGTAGTAAGAAGAAACAACCTGTTCTTCGAAGAATTCGCCAACTCCGCTAAGGGTGTTACTGTGACGTCAGTTTATGAAGAAGCGCTCGCCTCTTCAGAGGAGTCCGTTGAATATAGGGGAGGGAAGGGGAAGGAAGACGGAGAGCTCTGCGCATTGGCGCCGGTTACAGGAACCGTCAGTTGTGTCGCTGTTTACTTTCGTTAGTAGCAAGGGGTATTGTTATGCTTGCCTGGTGTTTTCTTTTTTACGAAAATGAGCAAACATTATCTACAATCATTTAAGGAATCATACTGTAGTGATCTTCCTGGAATTTTGCGATCTCGAGATCGGGATAAATACGCATTTTGTAGCGTTTGCAGCTGCAACTTTATGATTTGTCACGGCAGAAAAATTATATTAATGATCACTTAAAATCCAAAAAGCATATTAAAAACGCTAAATGTGCATCTGGAAATTCCACAATAAGTAATTTTTTCGAAAAAGCAAGTGCTGATGATGATGCAATTAGAGCAGAGTTTCTGTTCACCAACTTTCTCATTGAGCATAATATACCACTGACAGCTGCCGATCATGCCGGAGCATTGTATAAAAAAATGTTTCCGAAGTCAGAATGTTTCCG